CATAGGAGGTCGGGAAAGGAGCAGACCAAGGCCGGACCACCACCATGGACGCTCGCAGTACCCGCCGGCCACCGCATCTGGCGCCCCCTGCCTTGAGCTCGCCCGTCATGGCACTTCGGTAACAAAAGCGGAACCATGACGGGGAGGGAGAGGCGAGAGACAACCCCGCCTGTGTCGACGAACATGGTCCGAGCCCGATGCTCGCCAATTGCACGATAACTGTGTCCGCCAGAGGGGAGGCTAAGCTAAGGAAGACGAAGTCTAGGTTGCGGCAGATGAGATTGGGGATTTTTCAATTTTTAGAGAGAGAAAAAGTTACTACCTCCTATTCTTTTTAAATGTCATTTTGGCTTTATCAACTATTATCCAAATAAATGTCGTTTTGGATCTTTTGTACATATTTTTCCATTATTACTCTCATCTAACTAATAAATACACTACGTCTTTTCAAATTCACTCTTCATTTCTTCTCAAAACATCATTCTCTATCTTCATTAAAGAGGGTTATTATTGACAAAAAAAAATATCCTTAATTACTGTGCAACTTCTTAAAACGACACTTATTATGAATAGGAGGGAATAGTAGATATTATACAATTTTTTGTAGTTATCTACACTAATATTATATTTAAGTCAAAGTATCTCATCCGAGGGTGCACAATATAATTATATACAAGGATGTAGTTGTAAGACTATAATAATAATGATAACTAGGCTAAATTTATTTCATTTGATTGACAAATAAACGGTTTTGCTCTCATTCTGTTGTCTTTAAAATGTGGCTTGACATTCACATACACTACTCACAGTGGTTGAGCAGTTGAAATATCATATTAACACATGTATGGTTGAGTAGTTTGAAATATCACATTCTTATCAGATTATTACATTGTGTAGTTAAAATATCATATTATTAATGTAGATAGATTTTTGTGGAAATAAAAACAAAGAACAAAAAAATAATTCAAGTCCATATTATATTCATTTGTTTGGCTGAGCCAATAAGAAATATATTTTCTCCTATTTATGAAAAAAATAAAATCACCAAAAATAATATAAAATAGCCATATAAAGTATCTTAATATCATTATGTTGGATATGAATCCAACTTGTATTGGTTGAATTTGGTTGTTAAAGTGAGTTATTTCGAATAAAGTTCATTGCTGACTAGATGATTTTGAGTTTGTAATTGAATGTTATTTAATATATAATTATTGGAGTTGATGTGATATAAAAATAGAAGAGATGTGATTGGAAATGATTGGTAGCTAAAATTATATGTATGGATGAATAATGATTTTAAATTGATGTGCTGTGTGAAATGATTCATTCGTATTATTTAATTGTGTTTTATAAAAAATGTAAGAGTTGTATTAAATCAAAATTTGAGTTAGAAGATATAAAATAAAATAATTCAATCAGTCAAAACCGATTGAAACATGCTTTGTCTCATATCTAAACATGCCCTAAAATTTTCTCAAATCATATACTTGCGTGAGATTTCTAATAATTCCGTATATATGACTTTGTTATGGAGTTTCTGACTATAGATGTTTGTGTGTATGTCTGAAGTGAACATAGTATCATATTATACGATCATAAACAAAGTTTTCGTTTTGGGTCATATTATTTTGGTTCATATTAAGGACCATTTGTGTGCACTACACAATGAAAATGTGTAAAGTTTTGGTGTATGGATAGGGAATCCACAATTCAATACTCGAAACACGTAGAAATATTGGGTAATAATCTGCTTGGGATATTGTCCGAGGCGCTTGGGCTCAAAACTAATCACCTGGAAAATATGGAGTGCTCCAAGGGGCACAGACTCCACTGCCATTATTACCCTGCTTGTCCCCAGCCAGAACTAGCCATTGGTATATCAAAGCATTCAGATATTGGATTTCTTACCATTCTTTTGCAAAGCCAAGGCATAAGTGCTCTACAGGTTTTATATCAAGGCCAATGGATTGATGTACACCCCACTCCTGGAGCTTTAGTAGTCAACATTGGTGATCTTCTCCAGGTATCGCAATTTTAATATTTTTCATCAAGTATTAAGTGGTTTAGTTAGTATGCTCGTTTTATAATGTTTTTTTATTTGTTTTGTGCCAGTTGGTATCAAATGGGAAATTTAAAAGTGTTCAGCATAGGGCGAGAGCCAGCCACATAGGCCCAAGAATATCGGTGGTATGCTTTTTCTCTGGGCCTGCTGATGCGTCTAAAGTTTACGGCCCAATTAAAGAACTGATATCGGAAGAAAATCCGCCGTTATATAGAGACGTTGTAGTAGGTGAATATTTTTCCAAATTCCTTAGCACTGGACTTGACGATTACCGTGGCCTTGAGTATTACCAGCTGACGGTGGGAAACTGCGAAGATGGTCTTGCGTAATGAGAACATCATAGCTTTATCCAAGTTTGCGCTGTACAAACTTAAGAATATTTTGTAACACTTGAAAATTACTTGTAATAGTGGATGTTTGGAAATTTAGACAAATTGAAACATATTAATGCTTGATCACAGACATGGATTGATGTTTTGATTGGAAAACTATCTAACTCATTTCTTTATAGAATATTTATATAAGACTACTACATATTCAATCGGTCCCTTTGAGGCCTCTTTTACTTTATGGAATTGGGATTGGATTATTAATTTGTTGGCAGGTCAATCACACAACAAGGATGTCAGAGGTCGTGAAAACACTAGGTCGATGGTGACCTCATTGGCAAAACAACATGACAACAGGTCGAGCTAGAGCTCTCGACTAGCTTGATGGAAATTCAACCTGGAGACCTATAGGTCGATGTATGATTTAAGAGACAAACTTACTCATAGGTCAGAGGGATCTAGTTCAAGGGAATCAAGTTAAAAGCACAATTAGACAACATAATGAGATAGACTAATGTAAACAATATAATTAAAGACCACGTGGACTAATAGAATTGAGCAATTTGGGCACCCAAACAGTACAATCAGGTAGCTCGAGCACGCAAGCAGCCCAATCAGATACTTTTAGGCAACAAGGTAATACTTCTACATGAAGGGGTGAGACATGATCATCAAAACTCTTACAACCAGGAATGGATTCACTTCAGGTCTAGGCTAGACTGAAGCCCAGGCCTGTTTTTTTTTTTTTTTTCNGTTTCATCTCTAGCCCAGCCCAAATACCAATAAAAAAAATAAGGCCCAATTGCCCAAACAAATATTATTGTAAGTGCTACTATTTACCTATCACCTTGGACTCTACTTCCTCGCTCAATTGCTGCGTAGCTTGCGTTCTTTTTCTCTCTCTCTTTTTTTTTCCGATCATTTGATATCTGCCTTTACGGATTGCGTTCATCGGCTGCCAAATTTCGCGGTCAACTCGTCGACGACGACCCGGGCCAGCCACCACTGACCACTCGACCCTCCAATTTAGAAGGTACTAAAAAAAATGTCTTTACAAACCCTAGATGGCTAGATTATTTGCTGCGCCATTTCGCATAATCTGTGATAACATTGATTAATTCTGATTTATGCACTTTATTAGCTAATGCCTAAATCCTAATGCTATTATTTTTGTATAGTACCTGTTGTTTTAGTCATTTTTTTCATGTTATGTAATTTTGTTCTATTAGTTGTCTTTTATAGATTTTACACTTTTAGTTTTGAAACTTTGGTAGATAATTTGTTTGTTGTGAGTTTATTTTGGGAGGTTGATGATTGGTCGAAAAAAGTGTGTGTTTTATATATTTATTAGCGTATTTTTATATACTTAAATTTATCGCACTTATATATTTTTTTACTTATTTATTTATTAGATGAATTTATGTACTATGATATATTTATTGTTTATTTTCAGGATATTGAAGGATTTTAATTGGTGGCGTAGTACCAGATTGTTCAACCCAAATTCAGGCCCAGTTGGTTAATAAATGTTAAAGATAATAGGTCATTACATGACCTTTGTGTTATTCACGTGGGCTTGGAAGATGGAAGAGACTTTGTGGGCCAATAAGTCCAATATCATGGAATTATTTGGAGCAGCAATTAGTTTTGAAGACTCACGCACGCATACCTAGGAGAAATTATATTGGGAAGAGAATTATTGCAGCCAGGCGGAAGAAAAAAAAGACGCCGCACCCACGTAGCCAGAAAAATATACTCACATAGTCGAAGAAAAAGCCAGCGGACATAAGCGATGAGCTCGATCAACCGCGGAGGGAGGCCGCATCTGCACAAAAGGGGATCATTTTATTCTTATTCTTTTATTATTTATTATGTTAGGCTAGTTTTTAATTCTAGTTTCGGGGAAGTCGAACTCTATGATTGACAATGTTTGACTAATTTACGTGGTTGATGATTTCAATATCTTTTTGAAATTGTTTGTGTTATTTTAAATAATTAACCATGATGTGTTGAGTCTTATTTAGATTGATCACCTAGATTAGGTTATTCATATCTATATCTGAAGTAGACCTCCAATCCATAATTGTTGTTGTGTTTAATTCATTAGAGGCTACCGGAAGACGGTAACTACCGGGGATAATACGGCCTATTTAAGTGAAGATTGATCACCTAGATTAGGTTTTTCATATCTACATCTGAATTAGACTTCCAATCCGTAATTGTTGTTGTGTTTAATTCATTAGAGGCTACCGGAAGACGGTAACTACCGGGGATAACACGGCCTATTTAAGTGAACGAACGCGGTTGAGTTCACTACTTAGTCTAGCCTATTTTTCTAATTCGTAAAGCGGCTAATTGTATTAAATCTTGAAAACTTTTTTCTGAACTGTACAAGAAGTCGGGTTTAATCGTAGAGCGTCTCGCGGGTAAATTAAAATTAAGGAAAAATTCGGGTAACAGACCGTGTCGTTACCTAGGGCTAGTAATTCTATAAGATAGCGAGGTTTGATACCAAAGTTGATTAGACGAGTCGGTCGAGGGTGTAGACGGAACCGTGAACTAGAAAGTTCTCTACATTTATTTATTTTTATTTTATTTTCTAGTTTAGATTTTATTTGCTTCATTAGGATTTTAGTTAGTTTAGTTATTAATTCAAAATTTCCCCTATTTTATTGCTTTCAATTAATACGAGAAAATTCACGAACACTCCTCGTGGGATCAACCTTTACTCGCCACTACTACTAATTATGAGAGGTTAGTTGAGGAAAAATATAGATTTTAATTTTGCCGCGTTGCGACGCGCGGTCAGTTGATCATGGGTATAGAATGTGGAAATAAAAAGTTCAAAACTTTATATTTCAACTCATATTTGGCTTAAATAAATTGGCATATTTGGCTTATATTGGTATTGTGAAATTTTCAGAAAATAATAGAGAGTGGTAGATCGAAAGTGTATGTTATGTTAACTAGATTGATCCCTCTAGTTCTGACGTTACCGGTTTCTACTGCTACAACCGAGCGAGCCTTTTCAGCCATGAATCATGTGAAGACAGCACTTCGTAATAAGATTGAGGATGGTTTTCTCGAAGATTGTTTGATTCTCTTCATTGAACGGGAGTTTACTAATAATATAAGTATAGATTCTATTATTGATGAATTTTATTCTGTAAAATCTCGTCGAACACAACTTCAGTGAACATTTGAAGAAAAAATATTATATGGTTTTTAAGAAAATGAGTATTTTAAACTCTAACTCAGTCTACTCTTAATTTCTGAATCTGCCTTGCTTACAACTCTGATATGCATACAATTACATATAGTTCATCTTTATTTTCATCACTGTCGACTGACTTAAGCATCAGAACTTCTACGCCGGAACAATCCGGCTTTGTTTTGCAGGTCGTTCACCGACTCGTGCGCGCTTCAAAAGACATTCAACTGGGTTGAGGTCGGTTACAGTACTGCTAGATCTCGTGATTAATGCACATTTTTCTTATGATTTTGGCAGTTAAATTAGACAGCAGTGGACGTGATGCACATTTCGTATAGATATCAACTTGAGGGGCAAAAATAAATTTATTGTTTCTAATCAAGAGCAACTCAATTATTGTCATAGGGACACCACACCGTTGTTGACGATGGATCGCACATTGAACCTAATTCCTTGTATTTTAATCCTTACGTCCATTACCTTCCTACTTATATGTTTTCATAAAACAACAAATAGAAGTCAAAAGGAATCTTGCTAAAATTAAAACACGTGACAAAAGGACCTCTTCCCCAAGTGCCATTAAATAATTAACGCGGATTGTGTTGATCTAATTTTTTTTTTTATCTAATTTAACTACACACACTACACAAAAATCCAAGAAACACAAAGTCGGATAGGAACACCGCTCTGATTGTCCTTTGACTATAAAAATAAAACTCCAAAACACACACACACACACACACAAACAATTGAAATTAATTCAAGCAAAAAAAAAGAATTGAAATTAATGGCATCAGAAAATGAAGAGAGGTTGAGAATGCTGAAGGCATTTGACGAAACGAACGCGGGCGTGAAGGGCCTAGTCGACTCGGGCATCCAGAAGATTCCGGAGATCTTCGTTAGACCGTTAGACGAGCTGGCGAAATGTGAAAGTAAGCAACAACAATCGGCTGTCCATGTTCCGGTAATCGATATGGGGGACATAAGACTAAATCGAAAGAGGATTGTGGAGCAAGTGAAAATTGCCTCTGAAGAGTGGGGATTTTTCCAGGTGGTGAATCACGGGGTCCCACAAGACGTGATGGACGGGATGATTTGTGGGGTCCGCAGCTTCATGGAGCTTCCTGTGGAGGAGAAGCGCAAATACTACACGCGGGATAACACTCGGCCCGTAAGGTACTCAAGCAGCTACGATCTGTTCAAGTCCAAGACTGCCAGCTGGCGCGATACCCTAACCATCTCCTTTTCTGGGCCTAACCCGACCGATCCAACTCACTTGCCCGATTCCTGCAGGTACACTCATTTTCACTAATTNATATAAACTTTTGTTTGGTAATGTTATTTATATTTATATTGCCGAGAAAAAAATATATAATATACGTGTACTATACGGGTGATTGATAAAATAACTAAATTATGTACAACAAACAAAGAAAAAAAGTTTATATATTCTGTTGAAGTTGGAAAAAAATAAATAACGAACAATATATATGTAACAATTTATAATACAGAACTAAGTGAATTAACAATATTATTTTAAATTATGAAAATTAATTTATATGCATCACTGATTTTATTTATAATGTTTTCATTAAAACACATAAGGGAATAGTATGGACAAAACATAAAATTTAGAAAGTAAGATCACGTGCACATTATAGAAAGAAGATAATAAACAGATTTATATGGGAAGCATCATATTTTTATCCGAGCCAAATTACAAAACATAATATTTTGCCACATAACGAAGCATGAGAAGCTGCCTATTAAGCTTAGCGCGCTACGAAATTATATATAAGAGCTATTGTAGATATTAATAAGAATATTTTTTTTTTTTTTTTTTTNTTTTGGGTCTTGGCTATTGTGTATAGGGAATCGTCGATGCAATACTCGAAACACGTAGAAATATTGGGTAATATTCTGCTTGGGGTTTTGTCGGAGGCTCTTGGGCTGAAAACTAATCACTTGGAAAATATGGAGTGCTCCAATGGACACCGTCTCCACTGCCATTATTATCCGGCTTGTCCTCAGCCACAACTGGCCATTGGGACAGCAAAACATTCTGATGCTGGATTTCTTACAATTCTTTTGCAAAGCCAAGGCATAAGTGCTCTACAGGTTTTGTATCAAGGCCAATGGATTGATGTACACCCCACTCCCGGAGGTTTAGTAGTCAACATTGGTGATCTACTCCAGGTACATAATTATTTAACACAATTTTTTTTTTTTTTTTTTTAAATTAATTTTATTGATTGGTTTGAAACAATAAGTGATGGAGGAAAACTATCTATATTCACTTGGGAAATGTTAATGCAAGTAAAATTGAAATCCATATTAGCAAGTTTGCCTCAATATGAACAATTATAATATATGATTGATTTTTTGAATGCTGCTCTTGTTGTCGTATTTTAAAAAACAACATAAAAAACAAGTATGACTTTTGATTCTATAAATATATATATTTGTTTATATAATATGATGGGTCGATCTGCATAACTGTTATGCTACTGCATTATACATGAATTTGAAAATTTTCAATTACTATGACCAAAATTTCAATCTAGTATTTCTCTCTCATATGTTGCTTATTCAATTACATGACTTATTTGACTTTCTCATTGTGTATTTTTTTTTTTTTAGTTGGTTCTTGTTTCTTTCTCATTATTTTGTTTGTTGTTATTTGCTTCTTGTAATTTGGCATAGCTGGTATCCAACGGAAAATTCAAAAGCATTGAGCATAGAGCAATCACTAGCCACGTAGGCCCAAGAATTTCTGTGGCATGTTTTTTCTCTGGGCCTGTGACTGCGGCTAAGGTTTACGGTCCAATTAAAGAGCTGATAACCGAGGAAAATCCACCCATTTACAGAGAGGTTTCAATAGGTGAATATGTCGCCAAATTCCTCAGCTCTGCACTTGAGGATTATCGTGCTCTTGATTATTATAAGCTGACCGTGTGAAGATGTCCATGAACAAATCATAAACATCGTAACTTTAGTAAGTTGGTTTACACATTATTGTCCAAAAATTTAAAAATGTTTTGTCAGTTAATATTTGTAACAATGGATGCTCAAGTTTGTCTGAAGATGTGATTATTTGTTATGGGTTGTTAAATGCGTAGTTGTGCAAATTGTTTGAGATTTGTTAACCAATAATATTAAAATTTATAATCAGTTTGATGCACTGTTTTGTGACCCGGACAGGCCCGGCGGGTCGACCCGGGACCCGGTCGACCCGGAGCTGGAACCGGTCCGGGTGGAGTATTTGGACCGGGCAACCAAGGACCCGGTTAAAACCCGACCGACCCGGCCGAGACCCAGTCGACCCGAGGTATTGACCCGGCCGGGTCAACCGGTCCATATATATTTTTTATATTTGTTTATATTTTTTTTATTTTTAAAAATAAAACTATGTATATATGTTTTTATGGTAAATATTTATCATGAGATACATATTATTAACACTTTAATATACAAATTTTATACACAAAACATTTAATTTTGTTACTTTTATGTATATTTATATAACAAAAATACTATATATATAATTTTAAAAATTTTAAAATTAATTATCCGGTTCAGCAATGACCCGGTGACCCGACGGTTGAACCGGTGACCCGAGGACCTGCCCGGGTCGATCACCGGACCGGGTTTAAAAACTATGGTTTGATGTGTAGTTGCACCTGGAACCATCCTTCCCCCTATTTGTTCTCCAAAGACCTACAAAGTACGACGTATGCTGAAAACACTTCCAGACATAACTTTTAACGATCAAGTCAATAAAGGACTAAGAAAAGTTGTATAGAATGTATGCAACTTTATTATAGATTCTAGATTATATAAAAATGTTATCTTCCACACTTTACCGATGTATATCGCATTATTGGTTTGTTGGACAAGTTTTTCCCTATTCGATTGTCAGAAGGTCTGCCCGAGTGCCCAAACTGTCCGAAGGGTTGCCGGCAGTAATTTTACTGCCCATAAAATCTATATCCTTCTTTCACGTGCACACCATTAATAAGTCTATTTGGACCTTTTCCACATGTCCATCACACTCATTTATCAATAGGTATTAATACATTTAAGTACTCACAGATCCTTAACGTGAGTCCCTAAATATATTGAATTTAAGATATAAATATATAATATTTGAAATTTACTTGAAAAATTTTAAAATCATAATCTAATCGACATTGTTATATTTCTTATTATCTATAACAAAAAAAAAAAAATGAATATATCTCATAATAATGATGGAATTCTCAAATCCCAACAATCGAAAATAAGTTAACATAGATAAAATATTATGGATATCTGTTAAAATCTAACATTCGTTTCTATAATGTGTTGACTTACAAAAATGAGCATATAAGAAATAAAATCGGAATTCTAAATTCCGAACCATCAGAAGCAGCTAGACATGCATGCCAATCCAACAAAAAAATATATACATATATCTCAAATCGGATTAAATAGAACATAATAAGAAGATAAACTGTAAGGGATTCTCATAATCCCAAACTTTCTTTTAATTATGTACATTTAAGAAAAACGAGTATATCCCAAATTAACATTGGAATGGTCACATCTCAATAATTGGAAACGTAGATTTATGAAAAAACAAGTATATCCCAATATATTGTCGAAAATCCCAACAATTTTGTAATTGTTAAACATCCGAAATGGTTAGTTTTGACATATCATATTTAAAAAAGTAAGGACATAAAATTTATGGGAACTCAAATTTCTGACATTCCTTTTTACCATTTAAAAGAAAATTGTATATTTAAGAGATAAGGATATAATATTATTGGAATAATTTTTATAACCACCAAAATTAGAAAAAAAAAAATAAAAAAAATCTTGGTATATTATTGGGATATGATCTGATTTCCACAAAAATCGGTGAAAAAAAAATAATAAAATTAAGTAATAAGCTTATATTCATGTCAATCCACATTTTAAAAATTACGAAATAAGTGCAAATATATGCACTAAAAATTCGTCTATAAATAAGCTCACATCCACAGTCAAATGTAATGCAATACTCATAAAAAGAAATAAAAAAAACTTCACATGTCCAAATAAAGTCATGGATCAACCTTTTGGCCTAATCAAGGGTCTTAAAAGAAATACGAGAGTCATCTTGAAACTTCCAACGACATCTTTAATATGATGTTTGATACCTCTTACCGAAGTTATTTGGAAGTAGTTTTCCACGATAGTGAGTTAGTATTCTTCATTATGTGATTTAATAGTAGTTGTCAATATTTATTATTTTATTTTATTTTTCAAAAAATTATTTTTGTATTGCGATTTATAGGATGTCCGCATAAATGGAATAATTTGTGGCATTAAGATTCTAAATATGGGTGACAAGTTTGGGGACAATGAAACATAGGTCATTCGCAATTACTAACTAGAAAGTAACATTGATAAATACAATCTACCATTGCAAAGTTCAAACTCATTATTCATGGGAAGACCAAAGTGAAAGTGTTGGAGTATCCTACTGATTTATCAACATATTATTTTGACTTTCGTAATTTTTCTACCCCGCAAGATGTTGACAATGTAGCTTTTAAAAAACAAATAGTTATGTTTTCAATTTTATTTTTAATTATGTAGACATACATGTGGTTGTGTTTTATTCTAATTCTTTACGTGTTATGTTGTTAACGTATATCCCATCATCTAATATTATAATCAATATTATTTCTCCATGCATCGCACAGGTTATGCGCTAGTTATTTTATAAAATTTTACATTATTATGATATACAAATAAATAAAATAACAAAAACTTATTTATATTTTTTAAAGCTCATAAAAAAGGATACTTGATATTTTAATTAATATTTTATTTAATTATAAATAGTATTTTACATATTATACATTTACCAGAATTTAAAATAAATAAACTAAATAAACAATAAGTACTTAAATTATTTAATACAAATTAAAAAATTATAATTTTATTGAAAAAATAAAATTTATATATTTATAGAAAATTTTTAAAAAGATAAAATAATATAGAACCTAAATAAAAGAAATAAATACAAATCATATATAGTCAATGAATATAAAATATTTTATTTATAAATTTCTGCATTAATAATATCTTATATATAGAAGTATCATTTTATTTTTATCGTAAATAAATTCTATTCAATTTAATTTAATTTATTATAATTTATTTATCTACATTATATTACTTAAATTCATAAAAATGCGAATTTAAATTTATATAAACATTTATTTTACAATTATATTTTTTAATTTATTAAAGTGAAATTATCAATTTATTTTTAAATTAAATAGTAATATATTTATTTATTATTTTCAAGTTTTACATTTAATTTTAATCAATTTAATTATTTTCTTTTATTTTAATTATATTTTCTTATAATTACTTTATTTTGTGATTATTTTGTTTTTTATTTTTCGTTTGATTAAGTTTCTCTGTTCGTGTTTTTTTAAATAAGTGTGTCTTAGATATGTACCATAGAATGATGGTAGCATAGTGGTTTGAAGTCTTGCCTATTGATGTTTTGGCCCGAGTTTGAATCCTAAGAGCAAGCATTAAGTTTTTGCCCAACAACGAATAGAAAAGCAAGGGGCAAAATAGTAAATTTTAATTTTAAAATAAAAAAAATATATGAAAAAAATGAATACTTGTCGTAATACAAAGCAAGAGGCAAAACAGTAAATTTTAATTTAAATTTTCTTTTAATAAAAGAAACATATCAGAGCATTTTTATTGGTTGGCATGTATGCTAAACCTAGTATTTTATTTTTGGATTGAATAACTTTTGAGTTTTTTAACTTGCGTTTGTCCATGTCATTTAGAATTTAAGTCTATTTATATGTCACATATGTAAAATTAGACTCAATACATCGTGGGTGCTCTAATTATTTGAACTATTTAAATAAATAAAAAATGTTTGGTAGGCAATTGAACCAAAACTAGATATTTCCACATAGAGAAACCAATTTATAGTTCTCCAAAACTCAACTCACATCAAAGATAACTTATCTCAATATCGAAGCCAATTATGCACCATTTCGTGGCAAACGTGCTTTTTTTTGCTTTCATCATGAACTCGTGGACATATTTCTGGGTCTTTAATATTTTAATTTTGGCTTAAAAAGAAAGAAATAATTCTGAATCTGGCTGCTATAGGGGTTGGTGTGTTCTTCAATAACAATAACAATAGCAATATAATTACACATCATATCAACAATTGTGGGGATACCTTTTCTACATGTGCCCGTTTTTGCTTGAACCTTAATCATTTTAATATAACTTTGAAGCAACTTCTTTACCAATATCTAATTAGTTTAAACTTTCTGGGTTTTTCTTCCTCATTGCTCCTTGTTTACAGAAATATGTTCACTTCATTTTATGTTGAAGAAAATATATGAACATTTATGATGAAATTGTGGGTGTGTTTTACATTTCTTCGATTTTTATGGTTAGGTTACTTGTTTAATCCGTCAAGATTCTGAATTTTAGGCTTTTGCTATTTTAAAGAGGAAAAAAAAAATAAATAGAAAATTGCGTTTCATTCTGCTTTATGTTTATAGTTGAGTTTTTGCTTGGAGAATATGATTTGAAAAAAGGAAAATAGATGAGCGATACTGATTTTTTGGTTTAGTTAGAGAATTTTTTAATGAAGAATTTTGCTGGGAGTCCTGGGACTTGGACTGCGCTAGTTTTGAGGATGGCTCAGTGCTTTTTTGCAGCTGGTTCAATTGCTTCAATGGCCACCACAACTACTTTCTTCAATTACACTGCTTTCTGGTAATTTTTTTTTTCTCCATTTAATTCCAAATAACAACTCAAGTTGTATAGTCTTTTTGGTCTTCTGGAGATGAATTTGGAAACAATTCACATGCCATCTTATCAAATCTGAGCCCAAATAATTTGTGGTGTACAAAAGACAGAATAAAGAATTT